TATTACGTTATGGCTTAAGTTTTTTTTCCCAATGAAATTTAAGAAGTTTTATTATTAGTTGGTAACAAACTCCTATATTTTAGGCACTATAACTTAATTTACGTTATTTTATGGTTTTAAATTTTTAGTATTAGTTGGTTTCAACCTCCTATATTTTAGGCAGTTGATGTTACAGTTTTATCCCATATTCCATTTTTTTTTGGAAGAAATAATTCAATTGTGAAGGGTATAAAAGTCGGACAATATTTTTAGGATATTTTTATCGTTCAACATTTAGCGTTCTAATATTCGTGCTTTTATAATAATATAGATAGATAAATATAGATAGATTAGATAATACGGAAAAATGTCAAAACTACCTTCACTATCCGATTTGATATAATATGTCCTTTGTCCACTTATTGAGCCAAAAATGCCCCACCGTTAACTTTCTAGTTCACTTATGCCCCTACGACTAACGGTCAATGCCAAATAAGAAAAAAAAGTTTATTTAAATTACACGTGGCAAATTTTTATTGGTCCAATTTTAAATTATGATCCCAATTAAATACACCCACCCTTAACCCTTTTTTTTACCCAACTCCACCCACCTAAAAAAAATAGCCAAACTCTTAATTGTTAAAAAAATTAACTTCTCCATCTTTTCAACTCTACTATCACCATAGTTGCCACCACTTCCTTTCCTCCATAACAACCACGCTGCCACCACAACCATGATTCTCACGTTTGCTCCATTCCTCCATTTTTGAACAATAACAGTGAGAATGTTATGCTAAACGAAAGGGTCCGATTAGAAAAAATTTATTTTTTTTCAATTTGATGTCCTTTCTTTGTTGTAAAATTAGGATTTTCTTTAACGAGGAGTACCTAGACCATAATTTTTTTTTTTTTTTTACAATAAATTACCATTTGGGTCTAATAATTTATTAAGAGTTTGCAAAACTTACAAAACTTGTGAAGAAAAAGCTGGATTCCGGAATTTAAAGCCCGTGAACTCATAATGGGCTCTTTGATTATCTCATGTGATTAAAAAAAAAAAAAGATTTACCATTGTGAGTGACATTTGAATGTGAAAATTAGGGTCTTTTGACAAATACTTTCGAAAAATGATAGCCCCAATGGTAAATGTAAAATGAAGAAGATGATAAACATATGAAAAAGGACTAAACTGCCCCCTAGACTAAAAATGTGGTGGCAACGTGGTTGCTATGGATGAAAGGGGATGGCGGCAGCTATGATGATGGTAGAATTGGAAAGATGCGGAAATTAATTTTTTTGACAATCAAGAGTTTGGGCATTTTTTAAGGTGGGTCGGATTTTTAGGTTGGGTAAAAAAATGGGTTAAGGGTGTATTTATTTAATTGGGGTCATGGTTTAATATTGGACAATAAAAAGTTGCCACGTGTAATTTAAGTAAACCTTTTTTTATTTGGCATTAACCATTAGTCGTAAGGGCATAAGTGAGCCAGAAAGATAACGGTGAGGCACTTTTGGCTCAATAGGTGGACGGAGGATATATTTGTACTAAATCAAATAGTTTGAGGGCAATTTTGGGTCTTTTCCGTAGATAATATAGCTCTTTCCTTGAAACAAAGGAAATATTATACTATCTTTAGTTAGTGTTTGGACGTAAAGTTGGTTAAAACTTGAAAAAAAATATTTTTTGAAGTTGTGTTAAAAAATAATTTTTGAAACCTGAAGTTGTATTTAGATACGTATTTTACTTGAAAAGAGTTAAAATTTTATGAATGAAAAAACATTTCATCAGAAAACTGGCCTAAACCAATTTTTAGAATTTAAATTTTTTCTTCATTTTAAATTGATCAAATTTCATTAAAGAAAATATTTTTTTGAAAAAAAAAATAAAAATCTATGTTCAAACGGAAACTTAATCACAAATTTTAATTTTCGTAAAAAGACATGAAAGAGAGTACTCTCTTCGGTCCACAATAAGTGATCATTTTACCTTTGGCACACCTACTAAGTAAATACGAACTCCTAGAGAAAAAAGATATATTCACTAAATTAACCTTAATTAATTGTTACCTTGACACAATGGAATATGTATATAATGACAAATTTTGAAAAAACAAAAGTAATTCCTTCAAGATTATTTAAATGGACACTTATTTTGGATCAAAATAAAAAGATAAAATGGTCACTTATTATTGACCGCAGGAAGTAAAATCAGTGTCGAACATAATAAAGAAAAAGTCCGTAAGAATTGATTGAGTTAGTTGGGTAAGTGATTTACCACATGGGAGATTTGAGATCGATTTCCCTCATCAATAACTTCATTTATCAGAGCTTGTCCCACCGGACTTGCCTAGTGCGGTTTTGCGAGCTATTATATAGTGCGTACCCCAAGTATAACGGCGGAATTTTCCAAAAATAATAAAGAAAAGAAAAAAAAAAGTAGTCGTCACATGCAAAGGACGTGGCCTTTTTTGAGTCTCTTGACGATTAAAAGGGTACACGTGAATTCATGTTCACATATTACACTTTATCCACTCCTTTGGTCAAACTCTTCAATCGAAAAAATCTCCATTGCCCCTTCCCCCTTTTCTTCCCAACAATTTCCTCCTTCACACACACACACACTAAAAATGGCAAAAACCCTCTTATTTTTCACCATTCTTCCTCTCCTTTTCACCATCTCTTTATCCTCTGCAAAGCCGACACCGTCAGAGGCCCATAGAGAGCTAATCAAATACGGGTTCCCAATAGGGCTACTTCCACAAAACGTGAACGGGTATGCCCTAAATAAAACTTCCGGCAGCTTCGTTGTTTCTCTAGGTGCCACGTGTAAAATTACACTTCCTCCGGACAATTACCTAGCCACGTATTCAAAGAAAATTACAGGCAAAATTGTTGAAAATCGAATTGCTGAGCTTGATGGGATTAGCGTGAGGGCATTTTTTAGGTGGTGGGGTATTACGGGTATTAGATCTAGTGGTGAGAATTTGGTGTTTGAAGTTGGAATGGTTACTGCTAAATACCCTTCTAAGAATTTTGATGAAAGTCCTGAGTGTGAGGGGAAAAAGCATTCCTCTTCCTAAAGGTATATTTTCTAATCTATTATTTAACTGTTTATTCTAATAAAAGTTGTTATCTTTTTGTATATTCTTTCAAATTTTGTCATGGGGTGACGTTATCTTGTATCAATATGATTGTGCTTTATTACTCACGGTATCTCAGTTTATGTGGTTGGTGTTTAACTAAGCATGTAGTAAAGGAAGAAAGAGTTTTGAAATTTTTGGTCTAAAATAAAGGGCCATGAACACTTAAAAAGAAAGGATATGATGATTGTGCTACATCTGGGGTGTTTGGTATGACTGAAAGTCATTTTTCATTGAAAATGTTTCTCATGGAAAATATTTGTCTAGAAAATATTTTCTGGTATTTGATTGGTGAATAGAAAATATTTTTCAAAAAAAAAAAAAGAAAGAGAATATATATTAAAGATTAATAATAATATCAACACTTTGAAGGTTTTATGATGAAATATTTGAGTATTAGAGATTAATAATAATGTCTTAAGTATTGGTTGAAATCTATGTTGCTCGGACTCTCCGAAAATGTTACCGGGTGCGTGTCGGATTCTCCAAAAAGCAGTGTATTTTTGGAGAATCCGATACGGGTGCAGCAGTATTTTGGAGAGTCCACGCAACATAGGTTGAAATAAGTAATACTATTAAGTTAAAAGTTAAAATTGTTGTAAGAAAAATGACTTTCATCCATAAGTGAGGAAAGTCATATTTCTCCTTTTGATGGAAAATATTTTCCTCCAGCATACCAAGCATACCAAACATTAGAAAATGACTTTCTCATTAAAAATATTTTTCTGAAAGACATTTTCCATTATACTAGGGACACCCCTAAAGGAAAAATAGTGAAAAAGGTAGAAGTGTGTTAAGGAGTAGAACATTTAGCAGCAGTTCAGGGGTCTATGAGTATTAGAGGTCTATCTTTGGGAAAAATTTTATGGTGTTGAATGGTCTTGTTGGTTGACCAGTCTGCGGAGGATATAGCGATTTCCCAGCTCATCATCAACATCAATATCCTCGTAATTCACATCAGAACCAATGACTTGATTAAACAAAAATTTTCCAGTTGTATTCTTAGTCGACTGTACACCATGCACAAATTTCGAATAACAAATAACTAACTTATCATTATATCCTTTATATACTAGAGTATCCTAAACTCAATATAAAGATGATAAATGATATCTAGCTTTACTGGTGAGCTTCCTAGTTATCTAATCTGTCACCTTTTCAAAATCTACAATATTTGACCAATTGTTGGTTTGGTTTGTTGGAAGTGTGCGCAACAACGAGGCCCCTATTCTTAGGGATCTTCTGAGGTAAATTTGGGACCTTTTTTTTGATAAGCTTGATCTTTTCTATAGCACTAAGAAGTTAGTAAATGAGACGCAAGAGGTCATCATCTTTAACAAGAATTGAACTCATGACATCTTTGACTCATATGCCACATTTAAAACACGTGTCCACATATCTTTATACAATTCTTGCTCAACATTTCCAAAAAAAAGATCTTATGGATTTTAGATCTTCTTTCACCGGCCCGATTTCTTCCTTTATAATAGCAACTGAATAAGCATTGGAATTGAGTAAATCATCATCTAGGTTTTTGAGTAGAAGATTCACGAAGGATTTGTCTATTACTCTTGAAAAAGCAGAGAATGAATCTAGTACTTCCAAGTAAACATGTTTGAGATCTTCCTTCAGGATTTCAATATTTTCCCGTAAGTTGAGAGTTGCACAAATTATTTCATTGGTACTCTCTTCATTCCTTGATTTCTCTTCCAAGTCGCTAACAAGAGTTGATACCTTATTAGGTATCATTGTTGAAATAATTTGTCATGATGAATAAAGTCCTTCTAGAAACATTTTGTGGGTCTTCCTCTCCTATTCATCATCTCTGTATCCTCTGTCAAATCCGAACTCGATATAGATACCTCATTTTCAACTTATGACCGAGAGAGTAGGACATTATGTTGTCCTTTTAGTTGATCAACTTGATGAAAACTTGACGAAATGGATAGACTTGATGAAATAGATGAATTAAAGAAATTCGTGAACTTGATGTCCCTCTACTGAATTTCAAGCTAGCTCATCCATTCTTGATTATTCCTGTTAAACTGGGATTATACACATCTGTTCTACAAATTTGAAAGCATCAAAGTCAGCAAATGTCGGACGCTTCACTGAGCAACTCCTACGATCTACAAGCCTTTCCAGACATTCTTAGAGAATATCTGATTCTCGAAAGATTTTATTCATCATGACAAATTGTTGGAGCGCTTACCAAGGATATATCAGTTCTTTTTCGCGACTTAGAAGAGAAATCAAGGAACGAAAAGAGTACAAATGGAACAAATTGTGCAACTCTTGACTTGCTTTAAAATATTGAATTTTTGAAGGGAGATCTCAAACATGTTTACTTGGAAGCCCAACCTCATCTCAACTCTACTTCCCCAGGAGTAATGGATCACTCTTCATAAATCTTATACTCAAGCTTAAATAATTTGCTTAATTCTAAAGCTTATTCAATTGCTTTGATAAAGAAAGAAATTGGGCCGGTTAAAGAAGACCTAGAATTTGTAAGATCTTTCTTCAGTAATGTTGAGCAAGAATTTGTATAAAAATCTATGGACACGTGAATTACATGTGGTATATGAGGCAAAAGATGTCATTAATTCAATTTTTGTTAGAGATAATTGTCTCTTGCATCTTATTTACTAATTTCCCAATGCGATAGGAACGATCGAGCTTATCAAAGAAGAGATCTCTAATTTACTTGAGAATTTTCCGAAAACAGGACCTCATTGTTGTAAAATTTTCCAACAAGCCGAAAAGCAACTCATCATTAATAGTGGACCAAATAATTGTAGGTTTTAAGGGGGAGATAGAGTGGATAATTAAGAAACTCGCTAGTGGACTAGCAGTGCGAGATGTCATTTCAGTCATTTAGTAATGACTACGCTGGGTTTAGGTAAAACTACTATAGCATCAACTTATTTAATGATAAGTCAGTTACTAGTCATTTATGCATAGTGCACAACCGACCAAGAATGTAATTAGAAAAAATATGTTGCAGAAGTTTTTTAATCAAGTTGCTGGTTCGGATGGAAAATACAATATTGATTGCCAAAATCGCTATATCCTCTGCAACCAGACACCATTGGGATCCCAAGGAGCTAATCAAATAGGGTTTCCACATAGGGCTAGTTGCCGAGAATATCAATGGGTATTCTCTAAACACCTGTTCCTGCGACTTTGTGGTTTCTCTGGGTGACAAGTGTTGCGTCACCCTTCCTCCGGGTAACTACCTTCCCACCTACTCCAACAAAATCAGTGGTAATTGTTGAGAACAGTATTGTTGAGCTTGATGGGATTAGCATGAGAGCTTCTTTAAGTGGTGGGGTATTACAGGTATCAGATCCAGTGGGGAAACATTGGTGTTTGAGGTTGGAATGGTTACTGCTAAATCCTCTTCTAAGAATTTTGATAAAAGCCCCGAGTGTGGAGGGAAAAAACATTCCTCTTCCTAAAGGTATTTTTATCTATTTATTTACTCTAATAAAGTTGTTACCTTTTTGTATATTTTTTGAAATTTTGTCATAGAGTGATGTTCTCTTGCGCCAAATATGATTGTCATTTATTACTTTTAGGTCAATTTTGAAAGCTATTATGCGCTTTTCCTTAAGTTGTGGATCCCTTTGTTTATTCTATAAGATTGACAGTTTCCTGTATTTGGAAACTCTTTAATTTTAACATCCTCATTTTGCCCTTTATATGGAAATGACATGATTGTTTAAGACCATGGGATTCTAAAGCTAATTTTGGTGTGTTATAATATTTTCTTTGTTTGAAGCAAAAGATATTTAGTTTCTGCGTCATATATTGGTATGTAAAATGAAAGAGATGAAGTGAATCATTTTTGAGAAAAATTGTCATATCCCTATTTGTATAGAGGATTGTGTCTCTTTTGTTAAGAACCATATTTTTTTGTAGGTTCTCTTCCTTTTGGTACATGGCTTGTATATGGGGTTTCTCCCTGTTGTTAATAAAATTATTTACCTTATAAAAAAAAAAAAAGAAGAGGAGAAAAATTGTCATATTTGGCTTCTTTTGGAACACTTCCCGTTGCAGCTTTGGAGAAGTTCTTCCCATTTGATGTTTCTTTTTCTTCTTTTTAAGAGCGTACCTCCCCCCCCCCCCCCCCCCCCCCCCCCCCCCCCCCCCCCCCCCACCCCCCCACCCCTTCAATCTCCCTTTTTTTTTTTTTTTGAAAGTTCTTTCTGCATCACTAGTATTTTGTTGACGGTTTCATAAAAATTGCTTAATATATGAATAAGACTTACTGTACTGGAGGGAAAAAGACGATGAAACAAAATCATGGAACAAAGTAAATTATTCATGGATTTTGACTGTCAATATCATGTTATCCAGCTCTTTGGTGACTTTTTCTAAAAGTTGTTGACGGGCCATGGTTCTTCCTTTATGCTGTATTTGGGATAGGTGACATAAGTGATATTTACATCATTCAATTGTTAGTGACCTGTTTGTCTTGATTGCTCCTTTATTTCTCATTCAGGAGCTGTAACGCATGGATTTCTATATTGATATTGTTTATGATTTACTGCCAGTGTACCCCCCCCCCCCCCCCCCCCCCCCACCCCCCCCCCCCCCTTCTCCCCTCCGGCCCAACCAAAAAAATAAAAATAGAAGAGAGAGAAAAACAAACAGATATTAAGTTGAAGGAATATTTACCATATCTAAATTCTTTAGTTTCCATTTTCTTTTGTTGCGTTGATCATCTAAAATTTTTGGTGAAGTCAAAGTTGCTATAGCAACTTTTTGCCAAGCGTTGCTTAACATCTATTCTTCATCAGTATATTGGTTATGGCTTTTTGGCACCTCGACTGTCTTCTGTTCATCTGCCTCTCCTGTGTGTTTCAACCTCCCTATCACTTGCTGAGTACAATAATCCTAACTCTTTGGCAGTGTATTTTCTGTGGGTGCGTGCGAGCCTTTGTTTTGTCATAATAAACTGGTGGGACATAAATTCCTGACTTGAATTTTGGGGAACTTGAAAATATATGGTTTCTTAAAGCAAACAACAACAATAAACCCAGTGAAATCCCACAAGTGGGGTCTGAGGAGGGTAGTCTAGTATGTATGCAGACCTTGCCCCTAACAGAATTTAAATTCACTGTTGTAATTTTTTGGTTGATTGACACTGTTCATGCGAATTTCCAATTTTTTAAAGAGAAACCATTTAAAAAAAGGTTAGCCAATATAGATAACACAAATGTTATATTGTCCGAGTTTCTACAACAAAGAAAACACGAAAGGCTAATACTTTTTATTCACTGGTGTCTTCTTTTCAACCTGCAGGGCTTTTGTCTGCTGCTTCTTTTGATTGGCTTATGAAATAAGCCCAACAGAGTTGGGTGTGATGGTGCTTGATAAGTTAAAGTTTTCTTAGCACATTATGTTATCCGATTGACGATTTAGTGAATTGTGTAAGCAGTTGCTAAGTGTATTGTATATATGATCTATGTTATTATCTGGAATATTACTAATTGCCATTGAAAGATTGTTGCTCTTTTCCTCTGTATTATACATTTGCTGCTGTGATTGTGACCTTGGACAGAGGACTTGTTTAATCGCAGACTAATTTGATTGACTTAACAAGGGAAGATTTATAATGAAAGAAACTCAAACCCCTCTCTCAACCCTTCCCTACCCCGAAAAGTAAAAGAAGAGAAAGAAAGGCAAATGACTGTGTGGTTTATTTAACTCAGCTGACGGGTAAATCATCGATAAGACTGTATTTTCACAGAGCCAGTGGCCATGAACTTTGGTGTTACTTTTACAACAGTTTCTGTGTATCTTTTTCCTCTTTCCCTAGCTGTATGGAGTTTATTCGAATGGTCTTGGAATAGTACATGCCTTGTTTATATAGATTCAGTAACCCTTGTGGTTTGGCCCTTCCCCGGACTCCGCGCATAGCGGGAGCTTAATGCACCGGGCTGCCCTTAGTAACTGTGCCTTGTTGATACTGAGAAAGCTAATGGATGGTCTGCAAGACTGCTACAAAGGCTGGTGAAGCTCCTAATAGTTCAGTTATCATTTCTTGTTTAGCTCTCTATAAAGCTTGCAGCAAATGAATGCCATTGTCTGGTATTATTAAATACTCTCCGGGTACGACCCCCATAAGGTGAGGGTAAAGTTTGCATACATATTATCCTTTTCGGATCCCGCTTGTGGAATTTCACTGGTTTGTTGATGTTGTTGTTGTTGTTGTTGTTATACTCTACTGGTACAATTTCTTGCTAGAGTTCACTTCCTGCAGCATGTAGATTCCTATTCAAGGAAGTGACATCATCTTTACTTGTGATTGTACTTACGGAACTAGGGGTGACCAACGGGCGAGTTGTTCGGATATGAGCAGGTTAAAATGGGTAATTCAAAAAAAAGAGAGGATAAATTATCCGACTCGACCCGTATTTGAGACGGACAAAAGACGTGTTATCCGGCGGATAATATGGATATCCATATTATCCATGGCTTCTTAAATATGATCACTTATGGGAGAATTCCTAGTCTCCCAAACTTAAGGAACTCCCAATTTGTGGCTTTACAAATGTAAAAGTTAAACACATTAGTTATCTATTTTCTAAGTGGATAGTATGGTTCTTATCCATATTCGAGGCGTTTTAAAAAGTTTATTATCCGACCTATTTTATAATGGATAGTATGGGTCGACAACTATTTTCTTTTAATCATTTTGCCACCTTTAAATGGAACTATTCTCTGCATCTTCTGAGGATGTTAAGGGGTAACAAACTCTGTTATTGAAAGGCCAGGGTAGACACACAAAGTATTTACTTAGGTTTAGCTTGAAATCACATGGCAGGGGTGGTACAATCATACTCTAATTGATGATCCAAGAAGCTGATAGGCCAATTGGTTGATACATTTTCAGACATAGAATCCAACTGGGCTTGAGAAAAATCACATTCCTAGTAGCTTGTTTGGCCATGCTTTTAACATTTGCTTATTTTGAAAAATACTTATTAAAAAAATATTTACAGTGAGAAGCAGTATGGTTGACTAATCAATTTAAAAAGCACTTTTGAGTAGCAATTAATGTTAGAGCTAAGTGTGTTTTTTGAAAAAGTGTTTTTAGAGAGATTTTTTTTTTCTGCCTTTACTCGAAAGTATTTTTGTTTTCTTCTAAAAGCTTGGCCTAACACCGCAACTTTGAGAAAAGAACGTTTTTGGCCAAAAAGAAGCATGACCAAACACGCTATAAGAAAAAAATGGCTCATTTCTTGGCCTTCACATTGTATTTATAGTGTCATGGGCGGCTTTCCAGCCATGCCCTATGACTCCTTGGGCGCGCCCCGTGGCGTCCTAGCAAGCCTCCCAATGCCTAGCGCTACGGACGGCCCCGTGATCTTGGCCGCTCCAAGTGACAAGCGCGCAAGTGCCTTTGTCGCCCCACCGATATCCCTCGCCAGCGCCAAGCCGCAGGCAGATTCCAACGGCGCCACGCGCACAGACAACGCCGCGCGCGCAGACCGTGATGCCAAAGACAATGCTGCTGACAACTGACCTGTTGCTGCCTTATAGAAAACTAAGTCATTTTCATTGTAAATATAGAATAGTTTTATTTCAAGTACTACCATTATGTTTCTCTAGCATATTCAAGTCTAGTCTTGTAGTTTTGGATTATTTTTTTTTTAAAGCATTATTAGGGGGGATCAAGCAATCAAAACTTTCTAGCAAGCAAGCAATTCTCTGTACTGGTGTCTCTCCCCCTCGACACCGTGTTGCTTTTCTGTAATAGCTTTCATTAATGCAATCAAGCTTTCTTTCATTCTCAATTCTCATTTCTGTTCTCTCAATTGCTCTTGACATTGGTTTTCCCGTACGTCACAGACAATCTCGTCTAGCGTACGGAGGGGACCTCAGTTGGCGGACAGCAATTGCACTGACATCAGTTGCTTAGCCTTACGTCGCCCTTCCAAGGAATCTCAGGAAGGCGCCGCGTAACAATAGGCATGAGGTCAATCAAAACCATCTAGATTAATGATGTCAACATAAATCTTAAGTTTTTTTTAAAAAAAAAAAAGGAATACTTAATTTAGAAATTACATTACAGTACTTTAAGTCACAATAATCAACAACTCAAAAACTATTTAGAAGTTTTTAAAAAAGATTTTAATTAAAGAAAAAACTCTTTTGACTTTGCGAATAGTAGGGTGTCATAAGAAGTAGAGCCAGACCAATAAATTTTATACTGATCATTTTCGTAATCCAAACTATGCCTAGCCAATTTAAAAAAAAAAAAGAGGTAAATAGAGCTTGTATTATAACATTGATAGTTTGGCTAACGGTGATAAATATTTTTATCACCGCCAATGCTTAAAACTTAAACTCTACGAAAATAAAGACTCACATTGAATATAGTATAAAATAAATCTTATAAAAATTATGGTATAAAATAATTTCAAGATTATTTATTCTGAAGATAAAAAATTCCAATAAAATTATTAAATAAAATAATCTCATATTATTTTATTTTTTCATAATGCCAAAGTTTGGGTAACGTGTGAGTTGTGGCTAAGGTAAGGCGATTAGATTCTTGAACATGACATGAAAACTTGAGGCTCACATTAATGCTCTCTACCAACGAACTTTCCCTCTTTCTTCATTACTGTAAAGCTAGCAGAAAAATAGACAAAATTCTCACTTAAAAAAAAAAATGACACAGCTTCTTCAAGCTCCATCTTCTCCTACTCTCACATTTCATCACTGTACTTCACAACCCAAATCCGGTCAGTTCAAACTCTTTGAGGTTCATTTCATTCCAAGAATAATTTGGTTTTCTGCTGAAGTTTGTGTTTTGCTCCTTACAGGATTATATGTAGCTGAGAAATCTTTTCTCCAGTCCACTCAAAGACATGTCAGAAGCTTGAATATTTCGTATGCCTATTCAAGTTCGAGCTCATTTACAACTAAAGCTACTTCAAATGGAGGTAATTTTGATGCCTTATTCAACTGAAAACCTGTAAACTTCTACTTATTGTAAAATGCCTATTTGTAGAATTTTGTCAAACACTTGTACTAGGATTGAAAGGGAGCCTTGACATAACTGGCAAAGTTATTGTCATGTGACCAGGAGGTCACGGGTTCAAGCCGTGGAAACAGCCTCTTGCAGAATTGCACTGTAAAGGCTGCGTTCAATATGTGGTCCGACCCTTTCTCGGACCCCGCGCATAGTGGAAACTTAGGGCACCGGGCTGCTTTTTTTTTTTTTTTTTCTTGTACTAGGATTGAAGAGGAGCCTTCGCGTAACGTGACCAGGGGGTCACAGGTTCGAGTTGCGGAAACAGTCTCTAGCAGAAATGCAGGGTAAGGCTGCGTCAATAGATACTTGTGGTCCGGCCCTTCCCCGGACCCCGCGCATAGCGGGAGCTTAGTGCACTGGGCTGCCCTTTTACTTGTACTAGGATTGTATAGTTTTGTCTTTTTTGCACTTCTCTAGTTGTGGTGTATGCTTGTGTTCTGCTGCTTAGTGTTGTTAAGTCTTCTTTGGGTACTGTCTGAATTGAATTTCTCCAAATATTTGCTTCATTAAGTCCAACTTTTGTTCTTCTTGTGTACATCAAATACCCGTCCATAGATTACAAGAAAGAAATGATCTTTGGAAACTTGTCGTTTTAAACATGCCATAACATTTGTGTGACTATAAGACTTTTGAAGCTTTAAACAACAACAACAAGAACAAAAAACCCAGTTTAATCCCACAAGTGAGGTCTGGGGAGGGTGGTGTGTACGTAAACCTTACCCCTGCCTGGTAAAGATAGAGAGGCCACCTTTGAAGCTTTAAACATGCCATAATATTTGTGTAGCTTCTCATTTGATGGTAGAATGGGAAGTTTTAAGTTAAATTGTTTCTAAATTTAGAAAGAAGTCATTCTTTTTGGAACGGACTAAAAAGGATAGGGTCACTATAACACGAAGGAAGGGAGTATTTAATTCAGGACTTCTCATAATGCTTGACTGGTTCTTGGTTCTGATGCTATGCAAATTCTGTTGGGCTTAAACTCTTATTAGTTTAACTTCCTCCTTGACAACTTGTTGTAACATATCATTCGTCCTGCGCTGCTGCTGTTCAAGATCATTTCTGTTATACTTACATATTCAGTAACTTGCAGCTTGTGCTTCTACAGTGTCAGGCCAAACACCTGAGTCTGAAGTACTTAAAGCCCTGTCCCAGATTATCGATCCTGATTTTGGGACTGACATCGTCTCCTGTGGATTTGTGAAGGACCTCTTGGTTGATGAGGGTTTAGGAGAGGTCTTCTACAAACTATTTTCTCACATTCATAACATATATGTGTGAATTATTTTCCTTATTCAATCTGTTGGAATTTCAGGTGTCATTCCGGTTAGAGCTCACAACACCAGCATGTCCGATCAAGGACATGGTAAATGAAACACAACTACCACTATTTCATCAAGAATTGATGTGTATCAAGTGGTACATTATTTGGTTTTCTTACTTTTCCTTTTCAACGCATATACTTATCAGTATATCAGGGAACAGGAGATCAAGAGCAAAACAAATTCTTATTATTTCGTTAATAATTCAGTTTCCGGTCATCATGTGAGTAGTGGCAGAGCCAGGATTTTCATTTGGAGGGGGTCAAAATATAAAGAAGTAAACCCACGAATAGTCAAGGGGTGTCAATATGTAGTATATATTCATTAAAAAAATTACCTAGCTACACAGTGTTATTTTTCGATGAAGGGCTGTCGGTTGACACCCCTTGCATACATGTGGCTCCGCCACTGCATGTGAGTGTGGATCTGCGATTCATATAACTATGATTAGACTAGAAATCTGACTTTTAATTTTCCGACTAGAAATCTGACTTTTAATTTTCCGACAGTTTGAGCAGAAGGCAAACGAGGTGGTTGCTGCACTTCCTTGGGTTAAAAAGGTCAATGTGACAATGTCAGCCCAACCAGCAAAACCTATGTATGCCGGACAGCTTCCTGCCGGCCTACAAACAATCTCCAATATAATTGCTGTTTCCAGTTGTAAGGTGAAGAATTCCACAATCTTTCTGCTCCCGTGCTTTTTAACCCGTTAAACTTTTCTTGTAGTAAGTATTGAAGGTCTATCCCCATCCCAAAGAGAAAAGCAACATTTTAAGGCTTGTTGTTAAACTGCAGCATTTAAAGTATGTTAGTTGGTGCTTAATCGCTTGAGCATGTCCCGATATTGTTGCTTTTCATAATTCTATGTTTTACCAAACCCCCAAGGACTTCTTGTGTTGACCTAGCTTGTTAGGAAACTATCTGGGCGAGTAACATATTTGTCCGGCCACAAATAATTACATCCACTAGCCAAATATAAAAGAAAATATTTATATCAATGTATGCATTATGCTGGCTATTAGTTTTGGGAGCGTATATCGCTATAATGTGTAGTTTTCCTAAATTATTTTGCTTTGACTAGCTTATCATATGCAATCTTTTGTGTCCTCTTTCCTTTATTAATGTTAACCTCTATAAACCACAGGGAGGGGTAGGTAAATCAACTGTAGCTGTCAACCTCGCTTACACTTTGGCTGATATGGGTGCTAGAGTTGGTATATTTGATGCAGATGTATATGGTCCTAGTTTGCCAACAATGGTGTCCCCAGAAAACCGGATACTTGAAATGGTAATTTTCATTTTGTGGACTAAACAATGTTTTCACTATTGCATATAACCGCTGAGAGATTTTTTTGTAGAATGCAGAGAAAAGAACCATCATTCCAACTGAATACATGGGTGTTAAGTTGGTATCATTTGGATTTGCTGGACAAGGGCGTGCTATTATGCGAGGTCCTATGGTCTCTGGGGTGATCAACCAACTTTTGACTACTACAGAATGGTATGATATGCTTCGCATCTGACAAGAAGTCAAGAACCATCAACCAATTAACTTAAGACACTTCTTTGAAATTTCTATACCGGAGAAATTCTTCGAAATTTATTGAAATTTCGTACTCCGGAGAAACATTAAAAATACTTTTTTATGTTAAACTCTTCACTCTACATATCATGTTTCAACCTATAATGCGATCTTTTTTTAATTTTAACCTGGAACTTTTAAGCAGCTTATTGACTATATGGAAGCGAATGGCTTAATCTTGATAAAGGCCAATATAGTACCTACACTATATACTATATTGGCATTAATGTGTTGTTGTAAGATTAAAGCTTATTTAGGTAGGTTCACATATAGCATTGAATTTTGTTTTGGAAACTCACTGTGGACGGTCTTTTCGAGGAAGATATTTATTCTTTAATTTGGCGATCTTGTATTACTTCGTTGTCCCAAATATATATGATTATGCAGGGGAGAATTGGACTACCTTGTTATTGATATGCCCCCTGGAACTGGTGATATTCAGCTTACTTTATGTCAGGTTTGCTTATTGACCGTACAACTAATGTTTCATGTTTGTGAAAGTCTTGGAGGAAGTGATTTTTTCCTCTTGTAAGCGTTTATCTTATATATTCTTCTTCGACTGATTCAATTATCAGGTTGTTCCTTTGACTGCTGCAGTTATTGTTACTACACCTCAAAAGCTAGCATTTATAGATGTAGCGAAGGGTGTCCGCATGTTCTCAAAGCTTAAGGTCTGTTCTAATTTTCATGTGTTATCTGCAATGTTTTCTCTTAACTGTGATTAGAATGTAAATTATCTTTGTTGAGATGAAAAGATGTGTTGCTGTTTCTAATTGTACATTTCACACTTGAATGTACAGGTGCCTTGCATTGCCGTAGTTGAGAACATGTGCCACTTCGATGCTGATGGAAAACGTTACTACCCCTTTGGCAGGGGTTCAGGGTCTCAGGTTTGCCCTTGCTCTTAGGTCCTATTGATATTTTCTCGTCCTTTCTCAAAGTTTAGCAAATTTTGCGTTCCTTTGCTTGAGTAATTCAGATATTTTTAGAATGTTAGTACAATGTCCTCAATTCACACCGATAGTCTAGCGGATGAATTTGATCTGGATATATTATTCTCAATGCATACTAACCAACCTAACCGTGGAGATTCAAACACCAAATCTGAAATTTTAATACAATCCTCTACACCAAATCTGCATGCAGAATCTTCAGTGTCGTGAGATCAATTTTGTTTTGGGATCGTTGGGATTGAGACATGATCTTTAAAACATGCAATTCATCGTTGAAGAGTATGTTTATATATATTTCATCTGTATCTCTGCAGGTTGTCCAGCAGTTTGGAATCCCCCATCTATTTGATCTCCCTATACAACCAACTGTAAGTTGCAACATTTACAACTCTGAACTGGTTCAAGTGTTTGAATGTTCAAATTTTTAGCACTTCTTTTTTTCACACTAGATAATGTTAAAATTTCGAACTACTGAAGTCTTTCTTTAGTTTTCTTCTGTCAATGAGTCAAAATTATTAACGTCAATTCTGCATTATTGTTGAACTGAAAATCTTGAATATCATCGATCATGGATTTAACTCATCAGTCTGTTGTCAAATACAGTTAAGCTTTACTCTTCTGTAGCCTATTCTTCTTTAAATCCTTCTTTTTGCCTGGCTAGTGGAGATAAGAATTCTGAACGAATTTGACTATGAAATAATACTGCTTGGCGCTGATCTTTACTAAGTACTTCTATAATTGTAAACTGTCACTTGGAGCATTTCTGAACAATACGCCGACTTTGTGTTAAATTGTAAAGCTATCTGCTTCTGGAGATAGTGGAATGCCTGAAGTGGTGGCTGATCCTCAAGGTGAAGTTGCCAGAACGTTCCAAGAGTTAGGCGTGTGCGTAGTACAACAGTGTGCCAAGATTCGTCAACAAGGTACGTTTTGTTTATTTGTTTGTTTCTCTTTTCAATTGCTTATTCAAGCCAAATTCATTGGAAAGAAAAAGAAGATTTCAGTTCTATTCAAGAACCCCTGTTAATTATTCAGCTGATATAAGCTTCATTCTAGTGGGAATATATTTGCGAATATTTTTAAAATCTATTTTCAGTACTTCACTTGAACTAGATATAATGGTTACTAATTCTTTTTTTTTTTGGTTGTTGTTTCTTTGGTTATAGTATCCACTGCAGTGAGTTATGATAGATCTATCAAGGCGATCAAGGTCAAAGTACCTGATTCCGACGAAGAATTTTATTTGCACCCTGCAACTGTAAGAAGAAATGATCGATCTGCCCAAAGTGTGGTATGCATTCAAGTCTTTTAAGTTATTTTTCCAGCCTGACAGATGCGCTGCACTGCACGATTAGTGACATGCTAAGACATTTATATCACTATCATTGCTGTCCACCATGCTTTCTCTTGGACGAATACTCAGCTTGTTCTGCTCGTTTAATACTACAAATTTCAAGTATTTCATATTTTGAAATTTTTTTCTCTTCAATGACTTTGGTATAGGATGAATGGACGGGTGAACAGAAACTGCAATATTCTGATATCCCAGACGACATTGAACCTGAAGAGATCCGGCCTTTAGGAAACTATGCTGTGGAAATAACATGGCCAGATGGATTTAACCAGGTCTTTTGACACACCTATTTTCACCACATGATCATTCGTCGCTCTCAATTAACTTTCTTCTGCTATCTATAGGAAACCTAACACCTGTGACTGAATTTCAAAACTGCTACAATGAAAACATGCTGTAAAAAGCTTTACCAATCAACTATTTGGACTGATTTGGTTTACGTGTATCGGAAACAACCTCTCTACCTTCACAAGGTAGGAGTAAGTTCTGCGTACACACTACCCTCCCCAGACCCCACTTGTGGGACCGCACTGGGTATGTTATTGTTGTTGACTGATTTGGTTTATACAAGTCAAATAAAGTGGAGGTCAGTATTTTACGACTGTTGTAAAGTGGTGCCAAGATTAAAGATTAGGCTAATCTATGTTGTTCAGCTAAATTAAACTCTCTGGTTAATTAGTAAGCTAGAACCAAGTTTTCCTTAGATCTTTCTGATGCAAAAATTTTTCATGACTATCCTCTATTATGCAACTCAAGAAAGAAAGAAAACTTTCTGACTAATGAAATACTTGTTTCAGTTGGGCTCTATTAGTAGTTTGAAGCTAAGTTTTTTAGTCTACTTTTGTGTTACAGATAGCTCCTTATGACCAGCTGCAAATGATGGAGCGCTTAGTTGAAGTTCCTCAACTTACTCCTGCATAGGTAATGACAAAGTCGCATCTAGGATTTAAATTTGATGGGTTCAACCTTTAATTTTCTTAGGACTGAACTCATTGTACTTATGAAATTATGGGTTTAGAATTTAGTATATGGTAAAACACTTTAAGAGTTCTTTGACATATATATCTATGTTTGGCGTCACATATACTGGTTCAGTTGAACGTGTGTTTGAGGTCTATCGGAAACAGCGTCTCTGACCTCCCAGCGTAGGGGTAAGGTTGCGTATATCGTACCCTCTCCAGACCCCACTTGTGAGAATCCACTGGGTTTGTTGTTGTTGTTGTTGTGGTTAAACCCTATGTTGAAAGGCTCCATCCGCCTGTGCTCCCACATAGGTGCGGGGTGACTGAGGGCCTGGCTTAAATGCTTCAATTTTTTTTTTTTTTTTTTTTTACTTAGTCTAATTAGTTGAATAAATCTTCACATGACTGAAGGGGAGCCTTAGAACAACGGTAAAATTGTCTCCGTGTGACCTATAGGTCACGGGTTCGAGTCGTGGAAGCAACTACTAATGCTTGCATTAGGGTAGGTTGTCTACGTCGCATCCATTGAGGCGTGGCCCCTTCCCCGTGTAACAGCAGGCTGGGCTGTTACATCCCGGATCCTGCGTGAACGCGGGATGTCGGGCTGCCCTTTTAAATCTTTCACATGCTCAAACTTTCATGTTTTATTTCTAGGGATGAATTAGAAGTCCAAAATCAGATATAAATACAGTTGGAAGATTTTTGCTCCTCTACCTGGCCAAAGTCACAAGAAACTTAACAGCTAGCTGGAGCTACACGGATCTCAGTGATGTTTCATTTTTTAACTTTTTGTAGATAGTAATCTTCACTACCATTTGTTCAATATATTATTCTTATAGCAATCTTCACTAGTGTGAATCATTTTGTCACAACGATCTATGCATCATCATTGTTGTACAGCATGCTCCAGTGCTTGTACCGTGCTCGGTCAACAAAACAAGGAGATAAATTAAATTATCATAATTCGAGATTTGAGTTCACATCAACGTAGAGTCGATATGAATAAACTATATATAAGTTGAGTTTATGTTCATATCGTTAATTTTTATATTATCAGGTTAAATACAGCAACATGTAATTTTACATATCAAGTCTCGTATAGTAACCAGAAAAATAAAGTAATAACTTGTTAAGTTACATTGATAGTATCAAAACACTTTACATCGTAATTGTATATAACTTGAATTGTTATATATTTGTCACCTCGTGCGCCAGCATCTTAGAAGCTCAAAAAAGAAAACAAACAAAACAAATGAAAGAAGTCAAGAAAAACATGAATTTAACCACAAAATTCATTTTTAAAAGGAGGGAATTAGTCAAAATGTTGGGCTAGTGTTTGACTCTCTATTATTATTATTATTATTATTATTATTATTATTATTATTATTATTATTATTATTATTATTATTATTATTATAATAAAGGTTCATCTAGAAGCATTAGATAGGATGGCGAGAAGTTTTACTAAAGCTTAATGGCCTAAGAGTCATTAGGTAACAACTCACTAGAAAATTTGGGTGAAAACGTGACATTTATAGATTTTATATTTATTTGCAAAGAAGGGGTCGTCTCGGAGCAATAGTAAAGTTGTCTCTGTATGACATATAGGTTACGTGTTCGAGCCGTGAAATCAGCAACTAATATTTGTATTAGGGTAGACTGTCTACATCACAACCCCTTGGGCTGCTGCTTTTCTCCGGACTCTGCGTGAACACGGAATACTTTGTGCACTGGACTGCCGTTTTACCTTTACTTGCAAAGAAGAAAAGTTATTGGATTCGTAATTAAATATTTATACATATTCATTAAATTTCCTTATACAAATACATAGCCTAAGCAAAACCTACTAGTTTTGTCCAGACCCTTGCCTACTTCTCTAGCTCCACCTCTAGGTGAAATATAGGTGGAGCCAGGTTTTGAAGTTTACGAATTCTGAATTTGGTATTGAATTCATAACTCATTTTAGTTACTGGGTTCGCAATTAAATATTTATATATATTTAATAGATTATCCTTATACAAATATATAGACTAAGCAAAATTTACGTTCGAACCCGAATCTACTTCTCTAGCTCCGCCTCTAGGTAAAAACGTGACATTTATGGATTTTATATTTTATTTGCAAAGAGGAAAAGTCAGGAGCATGCCATACAATGAATTATGTAATAAAGACAAAAAATAAATGAATATATTCATCACTTTCACCAAACAATTCAACCGCCCGTCGACATAGACAAGTAGAATTAAAACTAAAAGACTGTGACTTATTTTCTTTTGTGCATTTTTTTTTATTGGAAAGTGATAGTGATTTTAGCATTCATTTCTTTTAGACATATATAATAATTGTACAAGTGTGCGGTATAGTCCCTAACTTGCTAAATTTAATAAAACATGTGAATTTTGTTAATGATTGATGCTAATCGAAAATTCCGCCTGTATGAGTTTGCTTACATTTTACAGTTTTAAATGTGGATGGACAGCAGCGAAGTCAAGAATTTTACGAAGGATGTTCAAAATTTATTATACATATATAAAAAATAATTTTTGACCTATATACACAATATAAGTTTCTATATCGACAGTATAATTTTTTAATGAAGGGTGTTTGGTTGATCATCCTTCGATGTATGTGACTACGCCACTATGGATGGAGCTGAAGAGTTACGGTAGGTTGACAACTAACATAGAGTTAGTGAATTAATGATAAACCCTCACAAATCAATGAAGATTTACGTAGTCGATTCCGATTTTACTTAAATTAAGACGTAATTGTTGCAAAGGGCGGTCCGGTGCACAAGGTTTCTTGCGTTCATGCACGATTTGGGAAAGGTCCGCACCTCAAGGGGTGTTGATGTAGATAGTTTAATCTAATACAAGTATTAGTGGCTACTTTCACGACTCTACATGTTCTAGAATTGTTTTGATGAATAAAATAAGTAATGAACTTTTTTTATTTAAGAAACACGTAGTGTATACGTCGGATATTCCAATTATTTCCCATGTCAAATAAAGATAAGATTTGGGTAGGCCAGATTTGATGCTTTGTTTGACGTAGGCTGTATTGGCCCTGCAAACAACAATAGTATTATTCAGCTAAGATAAAGCCTCTTACACTCTATGAGAGGCCACAAAATTTGGCTTATCTAATGTACTTTACTCTTTTTAATTATTTTGATAACAACATATTCAACGTTGTTGATGAAACATTCCATCAAGTACAGCCGGAAAATAATTAATAAATTAATAATAATAATAATAATAATAATAATAATAATAATAATTACTCCTTGAACTCTTACGCATTTTATTCAAAGAATAAAAAATTAGTGCTTCTAATACATAATTAATAATTAATACTATAAAAAATTCTTTTAGAATATTTCTTATTAGAGGGGTCTTCAAAGTCGTGCATTCTCTATAAAAAAAAAAAAAGGCGGAATACCTAAAAAGAACTCTAAACTTGACAAGGATTATTAGTTACACCCTTAAACTATTCGTGATCTTAATTTGTCACGACCCGAATTTTTCACCGTCGGGACCGTGATGGCGCCTAACATCGCACTCGCTAGGCAAGCTAACGTTAGAGTTATAATCACCTTTTTCCTTTACTTGTTATAATTAAAATTAAACAAAGCTAATTAAATGCGGAAGAACATAATTAACTTATCATTTTTATACTATTAATAGAAAAATCGAAACAGTCACCATGTCACAACTCACGAACTTTCTATAGATCACTACAAATATTGGTCTGAAAGAAAAGGATACATCTGTCTCGAAAGTAAATAAAACATAGATATAGAATGTAGGAGGGGCTGTCAGGGCCTACGAACACCTGCAGGACTACCTTGGGTCTCCTAACTGAAGTATCAACAACCGACCTCTCGATCAGCCACTACCAGCTCCGAAATCTGCACAGAAAGTGCAGAGTGCAGTATCAGTACAACCGACCCCATGTACTGGTAAGTGTCGAGCCTAACCTCGACGAAGTAGTGACGAGGTTACGGCGAGGCATAAACAATAAATCCTACAACAGTTTATAATAAAGCGAGAAGAAAATACGGAATGAAATAGGATAGAAACTTGCATTAAATAAATACGGAACCCAGTCTTTCTACCAATACTCAGCTATAACCAATCCTTAAGAGAGTTTCAACACTACAATAATGAATCTCAGCAGAAGAAGAATACATAGATAACAAGTGATGCGGTGCGCATCCCGATCCCACCATATAATCAATAACGAAATGAACATTCACCCTTATTCCTCCTTGTTGCGGTGTGCAACCCGATCCCACCAGTCCACCCTTATTACTCCTCAATATATCACTCTTATTCCTCCTGTTGCGGCGTGCAACCCGATCCCACCTGTCCACCCTTATTACTCCTTGTTGCGGCGCGCAACCCAATCCCACCAGACAATCACATTTCACCCTTATTCCTCCTGTTGCGGCGTGCAACCCGATCCCACCACATCATTACCAACCACAAAATAAGAACAAGTATTTCACAAATTAACTCAAATCCTCCACAACACTTATACCTCAAACCGAAACAACGGAAGATCACTACAATTATGAAACTTCACCAGTTAATACTACATAGCGAGACCAACCAAAGTGTACCATGAAGCACCAATAAACCAACGTAAACCAACAGTGTGATATAATGAAACTACGGAACAATTAAAAACGTCAATAGAGAGACAACGTTTAACAAGAAGTAATTAGACATGGAAGCATCAATAAACAAGTAGCAATTAGGACAGGAAAGCAATGTACATTAGGAAACAGGGAAGGGAACAGGCTAAACAGGAAATTTGGCGACGCGTAGGTGCTCGTCACCATACCTATACGCCACACACATGAAATTTCACATAGCAAGTAAGTCGGGGATCCCTAATCCCTCGAGTTAGGTTAGACCAAACACTTACCTCAAGCCAACAGGCAATTCAAAGCTCAAATACCGCTTTACCCCTCGATTCCACCACCAATCCACTCGTATCTAGCCATAATCAACTTAATAACATCTATAATAATAATAATAATAATAATAATAATTACTCCTTGAACTCTTATGCATTTTATTCAAAGAATAAAAAATTAGTGCTTCTAATACATAATTAATAATTAATATAATAAAAGATTCTTTTAGAATATTACTTATTATAGGGGTCTTCAAAGTCATGCTTTCTCTATGAATAAAAAAAAGACGGAATACTAAAAAAGCCCTTAAACTTTACACGGATTATTAGTTACACCCCTAAACTATTCGTGGCCTCAATTACCTCCCTGAACTTGGCCTTTTGAGAGCCATTACCTCACTGGACGCTAATGTGACAAAGAGTATGGGTGCACTCTCTTTTAAGGGGATTTGTAGCCGTACCTTATATTTGTGCCACCTTTTAACCTGTACCCGATTTTTAAAAATTATTGATTTTGTAGCCAGTTGACAAAAAATCCGTAATAATATGACACTTACACCCTTGATAAATCGCGTGATCTGCAACCTCATTCATGAAAAAAGATCTCCTCCTCTCCTCTCAGCAACTTTATAAAAAAACCAGAAACTTCATGCTAATGTAGCATGAAGTTGTTTCATGTTGAAGCTAAAACTTCATGCTAATATAGCATGAAGTTTTTTACATTGAAGCTAAAACTTCATACTAATGCATGCTGAAGTTATTTATCCCGCAGTCTACAGTTTTGTCATGAGTGCTGAAGTTATTTAGTTCATTTGCTAAAACTTCAGTTTAAACATGCTGAGTTATTTAGTTCATTTGCGAAAATTTCAGACTAAACTTGCTTAAGTTTTTGTCTTGGAGTATGTAATTTTCTAATGTGTTTTTGCTAATGCATGCTGAAGTTATTTAGTTCATTTGCTAAAACTTCAGACAAAACATGCTTAAGTTATTTAGTTCATTATGCTTAAGTTATTTAGTTCATTTGCTAAAACATCAGACTAAACATGCTTAAGTTATTTAGTTC